AGCTGCTTGGCTGCCCTGCGCACGCCACGGAGGAACACTACCTCTAAGAGATGGCACACTAAGAGATGGAACGGCTGTTGAGGCTGCTGGTGCAGCAGGCGACGGCGGCGCAGCTGGAGATCTTGGAGTTGTTCTTGACATCTGGGAAATTCGAATGTTCACGCGCTGCCTCTTCGGAGGAGGGTCTTTTGGTGCTGTGGGGGCCCTTTCAACGATTTCTGCTTCAATCGGCCCAGATTCTCTAGCACGGTCAAGAAGATTGCGCCCTGCGTCTGCAAAGCGATGTTCTGCTGATGCAGGGTCTTCAGAACCTTCAGAATCAGTAGCGGGGTTATTAATGGTAAGCTTCACTACGTCACTAGGATCAAGGTTACCAGTACCAAGAACAGTTCTGTGGGCCCTTAAGCTTGGATCACGCCACACACTATCAGGCAGATTGTGTGCGTCGGCTTCAAACTGGGAGAACTGACCTTCACCTCGCGGGACGATGTATGGCAGTGTGTGAGGAGCGTATGCAATCGGAGGATCAGCAACCCTTGCCCAACTTCCGGATGGATCAATCCTAATCTCTGGGTAACCCTGCTCTTGTGGCCTTAATGCAAGACGTCTTCTAGAAACACAAGTGGCAGCACGGGCTCTAAAAAGTTCTTGATTAAGTTCTATGCGCTCTTGGGTCGCCCTTGGGACTAAGTTGACAAGAATTGGGGGATCTGACCAATTCTTTCTTTTGTGCCTACGTTCACGGGCAGTTGCAACTTCACGGCCATGTGGTGGGAAGTCAGGAAATTCCGGTTCTTCCTCCTCCACTTCAACCTCTGCGTCCTGGTGCCTAGGCTCCTCCTCCTCTTCCTCCTCTACCCACTCCTCTTCCCCTTCTGGCTGAGGAGTGCTTGGGTCCTCAGGCTGTCCTTCTCGCGCCTCTGCTTGTTGGGAACTGCGGGCAGCGAGCTCCTCAACAGATGATGGTGGCGGATGTGAAGGCGGGGGTGGAATATTATCACTTGGTGGTGGATAACTAAGGAGGTGGTAAAGGTGGTGGACTAGGGGCTTTACCAGGTGGTGGAG